AATTTTATCAACAAGGGGAAAAAAAGGTCTGCTTTGAGAATCTCTTCAACTCCTCACTCAACATTTATTCATTCTATAAGCACTTATTAAAAACCTACTGGATTCACACCATAAGACTAGGAGCTTTGGGAAATAGAGGATTTGGTCTTGTTTGTCCAGGGCAATCATTACAAAGTCAGGCCTAGGATACAACCATAGTGCAATTCAAAAACAAGTGCAGGAGCACTCTCTCTATGTAGGAATTACAAAAGACTTTAGATGACCAAAGTGAAAACTCTGTGAAGCTTTTTCACTAGAAATTGTTCTGTGGTAAAAGAGAGAATGCTTAGATTTCCTCTTATTTTGTTGATGTTACATAGAATATGGAACTTGACATAAATGAAATCCTAGAGAATAAAACTAAAACTAAATCTGGAGAAATTAAATTACATAAAGCCCAACAGTTATGACTAGAAATAGATAATAAATAGATTATTTGTGAATACATATAAATAAAATGCCTGCATGCCTCCTCTACTTTATGTATGCGGAGCGTGATCACATCTTTTCTTAAAAGGTGTGCATTTCTTGGATCTAGATTGAAATCATATGGCAAGTGGGTTGGAAACACCAGGTACACATGTCAGGGGCTAGGGCACCAGGCTAGGCTGGCACACTGTTAGGCCAACTGCTGGACGGCTGCTTGGCATAAGTGCAGATCTCCCCTGGTAGAAGCTCCATTTCCCCTGGATCGATTCGGGCAGGCAGACAGGCAGGAAGGCACAACTGGTGATGGTTTAGCAATGAGGGGCTGCTGTGACACAGCTTGTGTCAATGGCCTGGCACACCACCAACCCTTTCCCCTTCTTCCTCATTTGGCACTGCGACAGGACTTTGCAGGTACCCAAAATACGTTGTATACCGATTTTGTAAAGTTTGCCTATTTTATCACTAATTTTCATTTCATTTTGAAATTTAATTTCCTTATACTCTAAGGAAAACAAGATATTTCCATCATCTGTTTTCCCCAAAGACAGTTGTGCACATTTTGGTAGACACAGTTTTAGTACACATCGTGCTTCTAAATGTGGAAAAGGATACAAGTGCAGAGTAGATAGAAAATATGTGCCATAAACAGCAGTTAACTATCTTATTATTCTAAAAAGCATTTCTGAATAAGGCTATAAAGTTTGTGTTTATTCAACAACATCACCACTCACACACACACACACACACACACACACACACACATTCCCTATTTTGTTTTTTATACTCACTGGGAATATTTGCTTCCAAAGTAAAGAAATAATTTTTAAACTCACATAATAAATATAGAAATCCTAATGTGCACACAATAAAGATTCCACTTTTTTTGCTTTTTTAAGAGCCAGGTCTTACTTCAATTTTTCTTCTTTCTCTAACCTTATCTAGATTCCCAGGTGAGAGTGCTAATGACCTAATTCTGCTTCATTCTAATTCAATCTGGAAGCAAATTCTGAATATCTCTGCTTGTCTTGCTGGGGTTGCAGAACCCCAAAATCATTATCCCCCTCCAATGGTAATCCTGTGATCAGTTCTGACACACCAGCCTTTCATCAGCAAGTTGGAGAAGCATATTCACCTCCTGCCAAGCATCAACCTAAAAAGTTTAATCTCATTTACATTTTCAAGGTCAAAGTGGGAATGATGTTATCTATCTTCAGGCTAAGAGAAAAGGAAAATTATTGCTCTAAATTTTACATTTCTGTTTTCCCTGTCTTCTCTCCTCTCCTCTTAGTTTCTCTAGCTATATTAAAGATATCATGGGACTTGGTGTGGTCTTTTCTAAATTATCAAAAAGTTTTTAACTCTTCTCTGCAAGACATATTCCTAGTTTGTTCAATGTTTATATGGAATGCTTAGCAAAGCAAATACTTCCCAAGTTCACAACATAACAATAATGAAAACTAAAACTAGACATTTATGGACATTTCCCAAATTGACATTATTCAGTGACTGAAATAAAAATGAGTACATAAAATCCTGGCCAATTTACATACCTCATTCTTTAATTAAAAAAAAAGCTGACTATTTTTAACCTAAGCATTTGTTTTTAATAATGTCTTAGTTTTGTATAACTATACATTCAAGGTCTTTATCATCAAAGTACATGAAAGTAGTGCTTTTAATCTTTAGCATGGTTGTAGAAGATATGATTCACAGGGTGCAGCATAGATAAAAATAAGCATGCTTATGGTGTCAAATCATCAGAACTCACCATCTTATCAACAAAGGGAAATCATTCTTCTTCATTTCTTGAGCAAAACATTTCATATAAGATAAATAGCTTTCAGTCAGAATAGCCTAACATGCAAAATGCATCTTTTTGACACATATATTCTAATACTACTTTAGGCCATAAGATTAAAATGAGAAAAATCTCAGGGTTGTACATTGCCAAGTAACACTGGATGAATCTGCATTTTTCATCTCCTAGAGTTTGGCTCTGTGTGTGTATATTTGTACATTACTGACTATTATTAAGTGATCAACTTTTCTTGATCTTCAAGTACTACTTTCTAAGTTTTATATAGGGAAATAATGTCTGGAACTTGTCAAGCATGGAAAGTCATTTCATGTTTAGAGATACTGTGTTTTGTTTTCAGAGACCAGGATACAGTGGAACATGTTTCTAATGATTTGGAAGACTAAGTCCTAGATATGTGAGCTTAAGAAAGCCACTTAACCAATGTATGTTTTAGTTTTCCCATCATGCAAGGGAAGCATTGGGTAAAATGGATTTTACAACTTTACCCAGCCATCATATTGCCATAATCTATAAACCATTAATCTTTGGCTAGGATAGAGATAGACAGGCGATGAGGAAGACAGGATTAAGAAATGAGTGAACATTATCCAGTGGCCCTGAACCCATCTTCATTTATGTCCCTGCTGAATACTGTTCTAACATTCAAAGTACTGCTCAGAGGCTCTCAGCACCTTCTCTTAACAAACCCTCTTGTGAGGTAGGCAAAGTAGCCTCTCAACTTTCCAAGTCATGCTGCTGCAAGGTTTCTGTTCTCATTTAAACATTAACTTCTACTTTTTTCTTTTTAAGGATCTCATTATACAGCCCAGGATTGCCTCGAATCCTCTTCCATCCTCCTGCCTCAGCCTCCCCAGTGCTGGGATTAACTTCTACTTTCTGATATGAAGTTCTTGAGAAAATTGGTGATGTAGCAGAATTTTTCAATTTTATAATACCTATTGCTTTCTATTTATTTAGCTGTTCGATTCCTTGGAAATTATTTCCTCATCTTCAAATTAGGCAAAATACATACGTATATGGTATTGCACAAGACATTATTTTAAAGTGTTCAAAAACCATTCTCTCTCTTTGCATTCATGGTCAAATTACTTTGGAGAGTACTGGCAATGGCAACTGATCATAATCAATACAAGAAACCTGTAGAATTTATTTTTTGGTCAAACATTCTTTAGTGAGGTGCCATGACTTAAAATGACAAGATGTGAAGAAATTGCCCCATTTACTGAAAGATAATGCCATATCTGTTTACACAGATCAATTTTGTTTGGGCTGGTATTGTTAAGAAAATTGGTTACTTTCTTAGGGTTGGTCTCTGTTTGCCTCTGTGACTCCATCATCTTCTTTATTCATTTCCCAGCCCCAAAACTTCGAAGAAAGCATATAAAAACCTAAGCTTAATAATGAAATCAATTCTGCTGGTGTTGAATTAGTCATGAATGTGAAAGCTCTTGGAAAAGGATGAAGATCTTAGCAAACAAGAGATAGCAAGTAAGAATAAAGAAACTGCTTCTAAAAATGTAAATTAATTCCTACCACATAAAAAGCAAGTGCATTGTAAATGACTGTGCTTCAGTTTTGTAGGACTCACAAGCGAAGGTTCAGGATAGCCCACAAAGGAAGTCAGGAGGTCTGGGTGCTAAATACAGCTTTCCTCCTTGCTCTCCATCTGGGCTGTTACTGGTAGTGTTAGAAAGTATAGTATAACTTCACAACACAGTATTGGAATGCAAACTAAATTCGCTAAGAGTTTGTGCCTTATGTATTGTCTTAATTTCTCATCCTAGAAAGAGAGGCATTACCATCTGGCTTAGAGCTGTGAAGAGCACTAAATAATAAATGTAAAGAACTTGGCCCAATGTTCTACTCAGAATGCATGGTCAAATAAAGTCGTAAAGAATTACTATCAGTATCTTTGAAAGACAAGCCTGCATTAGTTGATGTAAATTCTTTTTTATCTTTAAAATTAGACATTTCACCCACTTTTTTTTTTCTTCATCACAAAATGCATTTGTACGATTTTGCATACTCTAATCTCAGGGTTTGGGGACATGTCTGGATTCAATAGGAAGGGTGTTCCAGTCTGGTAACCGAAAAAATAAAAGCTCAAACCCAGTTAGTGTAGCTAATGCTCTGCCATAAATGAATCTGCATGTATTATTCCATCTTCACTTTATACTTACAAATACCGAGATCCATCTTAGATAATAAAAGTAGTGTTGAATATTTTTGCAAGCTATTATAACATTTTCAAAGAGAACTATAAACACGTACACAAGATGTGACTATATGGTAATGAAATGAATTTTCCTGTGTAGCTCAAGGCTCATTAGCTTAGTCATGCTCTGTGTTGTTCTACAGAAGCCATGTGTGACATTTCTCACTAATGGCTCATGCTGTCACTAAATACTTGTTTCTAATTCCCTGGGTCTTTGGGAATGCAGGCATCCACTTGCTTGTAAATTAACAGTTCTGCAGAATCAACATGAGGGACCCAGAGAAGTCCTTTCATTTCCTAGAGTTCGGTAAGAGAGAAAAACAAATTCTTTTTTCTGATTGTAGATTTGACCAGAGTTGTTTTTCCTGTTATATGAAAATTCTTATTTTATGAGAAAGGTTGCTCAGTAAATAAAACTATGGCTTTGGTTTTAATGATTTGACTATTTACATTAAATCATGATTATTAGGAAAGAGAAGAGTAGGTGTGCACACTTACTTTCTTCATCAAGATTTTCAGCAGCTGATAATAACCTCATCCTGTCTTCTGGGTTTGTAATGTTTAATTCGATGAGATGACTCTCTTTTATATCTTTTAAATCTTCCAGGTTCTCGTAACCGTTGAGCAAAAGGGTTGAGGTATATTCCTGTGAGGGATAAAAATACGTGCAATGTTCTAGTCAGACTTGAACATTTTACTTTTAGTTCTTTTTGGGATTTAAAAAAAGTATAGAGGAGGTGCACATGAAAACCACAGATCTCAGCAGAACTTTTGCTTAGCTTCATTTTCCTTGTGTGTTTCCCACACACAAACTCCAGGTCATCTAAAAGAGAGCTGTAACCATGCTAAATTATGGATCAATTTAATATCTGAATCATTCATCCCACTTGCACTTTTTTACTTCTCAACTAGTTAAACTGACACAACTAGCATTTCCTTAACTCTGTCAATAAAATGCCTCTAACAGAGTACATTATAGCAATATTTCTCAATCTGCATCTCTTCTCGCTTGCTTCATCACAAGAACTTTCATTACCTTCCACAGGTAGGTTCAAAAATGAATTTGAAACAGACACAATTGTATGCAGGAAGTAGGTTTAGCATTTTTGTTGAAAGGCAACCAAATTTTGACTTTATATTTAATTAAAAGCCTTTATTAAGCATGAACGTAGTATAGTTAGGAAAATAATTTCCTTTTTTCAGCATATATATTTTGTCCATCATTTGCATCAACATATGTCAGTTTAAAATTCATAGGTTCTTGATTTTAAAGAATGCATGTTATTTACATAACCCCTATTCTCTCTCACTGAACAAAAATGCGAAGTATAGTAGAATGCTTTTACAACTTCCTCAAACATTTCTCTCATTTTACTTGATAATAATTTCAATATCCTTACTTTATTTACTAAAATTGAATTAGAGGAAGCTGAAAAGTTTTAAGTAATTAGGAAGTACTTAGTATTAGGAAGGAAAAAGAGTGACAATACTTTTTTAAATAGGACTGTCTCTTAGAAAAGCACTGAATTAGAACATGAAATACCAAAAATTCCATGCTGACACAACCATCTAACTGGTTTCTTGAGTAAGTAAGTCATTTTATAACCTTAGATAGTTTTTTTCATAGGCCACAGAATGAAGAGGTAGCAGAGGCAGGATTCAAACCTGTATTTCCTTTAAGGAGTATCCCAACTAGCATAGGATCATTTGTCTACAGACAGGAAAGTAACCAGATAAAAATAAATTAGGAAACTTTTAATTGGCTATTTCCTTGATAAGTTTTGAAAAATATCAAAGTATTGTTGAGTTAATTTTAGAAATAGATTTCAAAACTGCAAATCAAGTGAAATAAGCTACATTGTACATACAATGCCATTTAACAAAGTAAATATTTTAAAAGTTGTTAACATGACAAGAAATATTTGAATTACAAAGACAGCATATTTTCTTTAACACAATGATTACAAAGCTAAGTGATCACTGTTTCTTAACAAATTATTTTTGAAATAATTATATTCTCTGGATTTGATTGTGATCTCTGCTCTACAGAAAATATTATTTTTCATTTTTCTTTCACGTTCCTGAATTTTCATTTTACTTTCTCTTCTCTTTATCATCCTCATTTAGACATTTCCCCTGGTTCCTTTATTCTCCAGATATTTTTCAGTTTTCATTGCACTTTCTCAAGATTAATCTCTACTGTCACTGCTAAGTTCAATTAGGGTTGAGTCCAGGGGATGTTATATCAAGACCTGTCCTTGCATCATAAATGTAATAAAGGAGAAATAAGAGCTGTTCTAGGAAAACAGATTTTACTTGGCTATAAGTCTTGCATTCCAAATGCAAATTATAAGTCTTAGTATACAAATACTAATCTACTCTCTTCAATTACTCCATCCATATACCATCAAAACCAAACAGGCCAAAGGGTTGCTAACCTGAAGGTGAATCCTCTCTAAGAACTCCTGCAGAGTCTTGGGTTTTTCTCTTTTGCTCCTTCGGTGTGCCTTTATTTTCTTGGGGGCTGCCTCCTCTTCTGAGATGACATCCACATAAATAAACTTGAAGTTTCCCACCTTATTGTTCAACATTCCCGTCCACATCCCCATTGGTGTTTTGCATATAATGTCTATGATGTCTCCTTTCTAAAAGCAAGGACATACACAAATCAAATTTCCAGGAACTATGGTGTTATAAAAATTCATAGAAAGAACACAATTATGGAAAAGTAGAGCAAAGAGAACATTCTAAAGTTCTTCAGAGCTAACAGTGTAGGTCTGAATTCACTTGTTTAAGGAAATTGTTTCCTAGTAATAATGAAAAAAACTTCAACATGCTTGAAAGAAAACCACTTATGTTCGATGACGTATTTGTTTTTATTATCATATCAAATTATCAACTTATAATTGTAAGGCACAGTGTTATTTACATAATACTTTTCCATACACTAAGTCATTTTCTGCTCACAGCACCTCTTAGGTAAATAATATGAGATACTGACTTAGATCAGAGAGGAGTTAGGAAAACTGATGACTGAAGCTTAAATACTGGTTAAAAAAAACAAAGCCACATTCTGACCTGCTGATGTCAATGGAATGCCTTGTGACATACAGCAGGGCTGTATGCCCACCCATTGCCCCCACAGCATGTGGAAAACGACAGTTCGCTCTGACCACCCAGGCCAAAAATTCCCCGTGACATGGAGAGGAATAATGATGCATAACTCAGTCCCTAGGAATTAATGACACCCAGTTTCTATGAACAACTACCCCCATGCCCACACACCCCAATAAAATTTTGAGGTCTTAGGATCCTTAGGACACTCTTACAGAGTGTATTTTCACTTCGCTTTGCATTAATAAACCTGCTCCTGTTAAGTCTCCTCTCTGTCTGTCCTTATATTCTTTCTCTGGCAAGACCAAGAACCTTCTGGTCCTCAGTGACCTGGATCTGGTAATGATAAGACATTATTGTTTTCAATATTACAGAAACAGGGATATTAAATGACTTCCCAAGAGCTTATAAGAATCAGAATCAGAAATCAGAAATCAGAAATCAAGAGAACTTGGGTTCTCTAAACTTAAAAATTATGTTATTTTCATTTACTATCAACTTGATATGTATATAAAAGTTCAAGGTATCATTTCTGGAGGGGTTCTCCTGCTGGGGAAAGTGAAGAAAGGAGTCTGCTGCTGTTAGTGATTCAAGTTCACTTGAAAAAAAAATCATCTATAATCTAAAATAAATGCATCTAAAGTATTTCATCCATCTAAAGTAATGAAACTATGAAGAACTCACCAAATGTTCAACAAAACTATGTATATGCACTAAGTCTTGCTACTTAATCTTCAGATACTAATGTTACTCTACTTATTAAGAGGAAATAACGCTTAGATTAAGATCCACAAGAAAAGTTTGCATTGAAGTATGAATGAAGCACAGTGGGAAGGTATTTTGTTTATTCATGTCTAAGACCATATTTGTCTACAGGCTGTCAGTAATTGGCAAGAGTAGATATCCCTGTAAAGCAAATCAATTTCTGTACAAGTAAGCATCTACGTTTAAGAAGCAGAGTTATTCCTTTGAGATATATAACATTCTAAGCCCAGAGAAGATGTTACAGATTCCAATATTTTTGCTACTTTTAAGGATCTAACCTTTAAACAAACGAAGCATTAAACTCATCCTTCTAATATATATTTACCAGCTGATCTACTAGTGTATATTTTATGTAAAATAAATTTAATTTGTAATAGCAGAATGTAGTGTGGTTAAAAGATGTAATTTCTTCTGACTTGTGATCACTGGATCTGCCTGTGTGAGTCTCTGAACTCTTAATCTAGGTTTTTCCACCCAGTAGGCCAAGTGCTAACCATGCAGCAGATCAGGAAACTCCCCAGAAGTTCAAAGAAGTGTCTAGGTACGACAGTCCTTTACTGAATCCTTCCTATTACCTTTAAACTTGTAAACTTGTAACTACAGCCTTTAAACTTGTACACTTGTGCACATATTGAGAAAGTTCACAGGTCACCAAGCAAACATTCAATTTCCATCACTGTGCCCTCTATGAACTCCACAAAAATCACATTAGGCAACACTAGAACTGGTACATTGGCACTGTATTGTAGGAAAACTGAAAATCTATTCCCTTTGAATGCCCTCCCCTCTAAAGTTTTCTAGGTTACAAGCATCTTTTCCCTAAGACTTGAATTTAGACTTTAAATCACTTCAAAAAATGACTAAAGAAGTACTGTGAAAGCAGTTTTTTTCCTCATCTGTCTCAGAGCTTACTCTGATTTGATAGCACAGAAGTAATAAAGACAAGAGTCGAGTACCTTAAATGTCAAATAATAACAATACTTCACACAATGGAATTTTATGCAGCCATGAAGAAGAATGAAATGTTATCATTCGCTGGTAAATGGATGGAATTGGAGAACATCATTCTGAGTGAGGTTAGCCTGGCCCAAAAGACCAAAAATCATATGTTCTCCCTCATATGTGGACATTAGATCAAGGGCAAACACAACAATGGGATTGGACTATGAGCACATGATAAAAGCGAGAGCACACAAGGGAGGGGTGAGGATAGGTAAGACACCTAAAAAACTAGCTAACATTTGTTGCCCTTAACGCAGAGAAACTAAAGCAGATACCTTAAAAGCAACTGAGGCCAATAGGAAAAGGGGAACAGGAACTAGAGAAAAGGTTTGATCAAAAAGAATTAACCTAGAAGGTAACACCCACGCACAGGAAATCAATGTGAGTCAATGCCCTGTATAGCTATCCTTATCTCAACCAGCAAAAACCCTTGTTCCTTCCTATTATTGCTTATACTCTCTCTACAACAAAATTAGAAATAAGGGCAAAATAGTTTCTGCTGAGTATTGAGGGGGGGAGAGGGAGGGGGCGGAGTGGGTGGTAAGGGAGGGGGTGGGGCAGGGGAGAGAAATGAACCAAGCCTTGTATGCACATATGAATAATAAAAGAAAAAGGAAAAAGAAAAAAAAAACAATACTTCAAACATATCTAATCATTAGTTAACATTGGTTTTGTGTTGAAAGTATAGAAAAATACATAATTTGTGTCCTTTTAGTTATAGCACTTTATGTTACTAAAGGGAATAATTTACTAGCTACAAAATACTTTAGTAAGAAGTATTCTACTATTTGTGCTATTGTAACCAGCCCTGTACCTTTAGTATAAACAGCACCATGAAAAATTAGTTGATTTTCAGTTAAATAAATGGAAATTTTCTGGGTGGGTCTGACTCAGTCACATGGAATCCCTTTTCAAAACAGACATTAAAGTGTGTGTCAGCTTTTCTCCTGCTGGTCTTGAAGAAGCAAACTACCATGTTGCAGTGAAGGCCGTGACTGGTGGAGTCTAGGGTACGAGAAAGGCATCATCCAGCCAGAAGGAAGGGGCCTCAGTCTTACAACCATAAGAAAATGAATTCTGCCAACAGTAAGTGATTTTGAAAGAGGACCCCAAGCCTCAGGTGAGATTACACCTTGGATGACACCTTGATTTAAACCATGACAGTCCTTAAGCAGAGAACTCAGCTGAACAATGCCCAGATTTATGACACACAGAAACTGTGACAACACAATACATCTGTGTTGTTTGAAGCCTCTGAATTTAGGGCAAGAAGAAGGAATTGAAGGGACGATGTCAATGTAGAAAAGACCTCTTGTTATTCATGGCAACCAATTTAAAAAGTACTGGACTTGCCCAGACAAGTCTGCTTACAAAACCTTTTCTCTGCAGGGCTCTTGCCTGATACTCATCTTTTTCTCCCTGTCTTTTGCTTGATTATTTTTACTCAAGCAAGTATTTGGTAGAGCTGGGCACTTGTGAGGGATTTCAGATTTCAAAAAAGGGCCAAGAATTCCTTTTCCCCCATAGCTTTAGATCTTCAGCTGCTCTCTAACAGTAACATGCTAATCGCCTGAGCTGAGCGATTGCTCTTACCCCACCTCACATATTTTGTTCAAAATTCTTGCCACTATGAGCCAGAGGTAAGCCAATTCTGCTGGGAAGAACTCTAACAAGCTTACTTCCCACTTTTCGTACTTCCTGAAACAAATCATATGATCAGCATTTGAAAAACCATTAAGAAAGCAGATGTTGGCCTACCTTGATTTTGAGGGAGTCCATGTCATAGGGACTTGGTGTGAAATCTGTATGTACTCTGGCACGGCCACAAAATGGTCCTGTGTAAGGGATATCATCATCCAGTCGAAAGCTGTTCCGGTTACTTGTACCATCTGAACAGCTTGTTATCCCACCTGATGAAGGTAGAGGTTAACAGTTCTCATCATTTAGCATTCTGAACCTTTATCTGGACACTGAAGCAATGGAATCCAGTCTTGTTTCACTTCTGAGTCTTTCTCTGTCACTTACTTCTGTCCTCTGAGCTATTTCTGACCTTAGCTCTGCCAATCTAATGACTACTCTCTCCTGAATCACTAACCCAAATACCCTCTTATATTAGTCTCTATGATCTGATCCAGTACAGTATGTTAAGTAATAGACACTTACTAAAGAGGAACAAGAAGTAGCAAGATATAGGTTTAACCATTGACCAAGCCAAGTAATTTCATACATGTAAAATAAGACAGAAATAAAACAGCAGTTTGGTCTGTGTATGCTATTGGTCATAAAAGGTGAATTACCTCTAGCCACAGAAATTAAGCAACACTTAAACCATCTACTATCTCCTCTGGCCTTCGCTTCGTGATGATTCCAAGCCCAGGATTTTCATGGTACGTTCTAGTTAATAAAATTCTCTACACATTCAGCATTATGATTTAGAATTTTTAAATCTCCAGCAGAAATGAATACTAATGAAATCTGAATTTCACACACACAAAAATATATCCTTCAAATGTTTCTACATTTGCGTTTTTCACAAAGCAACTGTTCTACAGCCAATAGGAATACAGAAATAAAATTTAGTATATTTGGAATATCTAGTCGTTGTACTCCTTCTTCAAATAACAGAAGCAGTCGACTTTAAAGGAAATGGAAAACAAACTTTGCAAGGACATTTTAGCCCCTGAAAAGATTAGAGGATGTGTAACGTTTACATACAAAAAGTCTTAAGAAACTCCATAGTATGAATACTTTTATGCAAATGTTGTAGCAGGAAATATAATTGATTCCTGAGTAATTTCCTTCATAAAAAAATCTATATTGTTTAGAACATCTCTGTTGATCACTTGTTGATTATTTTTTACCACTTAGTTGGTGACATTTCTATCATTTAGTTTACATAGTGCTTTAATCTTTACTCAATAATGTTAAAAAGTAAATAATAGTGTTGATGCAAATGTCTAACACTTTTCAGAACATTTCAGAATAAAAAAAGGAAAGAAAAGGAAGGAAAAAGAGGAAGAGAGAGTGAGAGAGATAGGCATGGGTGAGGGAGGAAGTGAAAAAGTGAGGGAGATAAAAGTAAAGAAAGAAGATGTAGGAAGAGAGACAAAACAGGATTTTACTTCTCTATTTCAAATCATTTTAAACCTTTTCACTCAAGATAATGCTAGGTTTCTGCAGCATACATTTATTTTTTATTTTAAGGATTTAGATTTAATTACCCAGCATAACCTTTTTGAGTCACATCCCCAAGAACCCTATTAACTATAGCATTAAATGTTTCAAAACAATATATAATTCTATTATGTTATATATTACTTTAAACTCCTACCAATGTAGATAGATTCATTATCTCCTACCCCAATACCATTTCTATTACCAAGTGGCCAGGAACTTTGTTGAAGTTGATAAACAAGCCCCAGGGGGGCACGTTTGTTGTTTTTAATTAACTGAACCCAGACCTCACATCTAGGATATTGCCTCTTATTCATTAGCCTTACTTGATGAGCTCTGCCCACTGTAGAGACTATCCATGGAGTCACTGGCTTTGAGGGAGACCTTCTCAGTGTGGGTCCCTATCACAGGATCACTGTTCCGATAGGGGAGGGCAGCTTTATTTTCCTCATCCTTCAGAAAAACATATCAGAGGTTAGATGCAGAGAGCAGATTTCCATGGCGATGTTCACTGTGTGCATTGACTTAACAAACAAGATGTATTTTAGCAACAGAATACTTAGGGATACATCAGCATAAAATATGAGAGTCATCAATCTTTAGTCAATGTCTAGTGTATACCTGGAAAAATTCCTTAGACAAGACATTCCTTATTGTGGGATGCAAATGAAATTATAATGGTTCAGTTTTGCAAATAACAATGAATGTCATATCAAGACTATTTAGTCAGAAATGTTAGATGTATTGACATCTGTGTTTTATCTGTTAAAACACTTTTAATTCTTCATGTTCTCCTCCTCTACTTACCATCATTACTAATCCTTTGAGATCTGATAGTACAGGTTTAAACTCTGCACAGTTGTTTCATGTCAGTTATTTGCACCCTACCAGATCACTAGATATGAATAAAACATGCACACTTTGCAATTCTAAAGCAAAGCTTATCTGAGGAACTTTACAAATCTCATACAGTGCTTGCCACCAAGTCAAGTGAAAAGCAAATCTTGCATAAAATTAGAAAAGACAGACAATTTCAAAACAAATTACATTTCCTTGAAAACATCTCAAATGTTTTCCATATTTAGATGGTTTAGACAAAGCCTATGAATTTCTTAATATTCATCAGATTGTAATTCAATATTCCCATTTTGAGCATTTCTGAACATTGATAAAACTTCAGAATATACATACAATATATACTATTTTGTTTCTGTTTTCATTTATTCCTTTATTTATTCATTTATCCACCCAATACAGGTTTATAGAATACCTCTTAAGTACTTCACACTGTTCTAAGAACTAAGGATGCTATGGTAGAAATGATGACAGGATGCAAGATCCTTGCTTTAATGAGGTATGTTCTAATGTATGTAGACTGTGCGTGGTGTGTAGGCTATATGTGTTTATATATTTGCTGTGTTTGTGAATGTGTGGTATGTGTTTAAAGTGTTTGGAAAGGTATTCATAAGTAACAAAGAGGACAATTTAAGAGAAGTATAAGTTCTACGAATGAAATAAAACTGTATGATATGAGAGAATTAGCCAGTAGGGTTAGTGTGAAGGGTTAGAGGAAACTTGATTGATTTAGATAAGATAGCCACCAAAGACCTCTACTGGAAGGTAATGTAAACTGTGAACCATTAAACTGAATTAAAATGAGCTATAACTTATCTGAAATTTTGGAAATAATTTTCTAAGCAGAAGAAATAATAACAAAATTACTGAATTCAATGAACTTGAGTTGTGCAGCCTAATGTAGTGAGAAGAAGAAGTAGTCAGTTCAAGAAAAACTTTGCTGCCCATGTATGGTGATCATGGAAATGTACCACTTATCCCTCTTTCTGTGGGATCCTGCTTTACTGACTGCATTGTGTATTGTGAGTATACATGAACCTTAAGGGGTGGGGGCTTAATGTATAGTTTCAGTATGGTTTGTCCCCTCCAAAATCTTCTGCTCGAGATTAATTCCCACTATGAGCTATAAAAAAATGGAAAGCTTAATTCGTGTTTAAAGGTGAGGCCATTGGGAAGTGATTAGGAACCAGCAAGATCATAAGGGTGGAGGCTCCAAGACTGACAACTGGTGGCTTTATTAGAAAAAGGAGAAAGATTAGAATATACACAGGTTCAATTCCTGTTTCTTGCTGTGTGATAACCAGCACCACTTTGCAATTCTGTCACCAAGAAGGCCATAACCAGATGTGACAGCTTAATCTTGGACCAGAATTTTGAGCCTAAATAAACTTCTTTTCTTTATAATTTACTCAGCCTGTGGCATTTTGCTATTAGCAACAGAAAAATAAATGAACACACAGACAGTTGAAGCTGTTTTCTTCTTTTCCACTTCTGTATTTGCACTAAAGCCAAGCTCCCTTCCAGTGAAGGTGTTATTTGAGACCATTGTGGTGAAACATAGGATTCCTCTAATGGAAAAATTTGGTTCAAAGTTTCCCAGTCAGCCTGGTCAAAGCTTTCTCAGCACTGGGCTGAAGTCTAAATTCCCTCTAAATGATCCTTTTTCCTCCTTCTCCTTTTACAGATGTCACACTTGAATTGTAGTCAAAAGACTTCCCTGTTCATTTCTTCCACTTTAAAAAAAAAATCTTCACAGGCATATTCCCACCAATAAATCTTTGGTGTTTCTATTGCTTTCTGGAGGCCCACTTCACAGAGGACTTGAACACACAATAGCAAGGGAGTGCATTTTGAAGACACTTCAAGTTTTAAACAGGGATCTGATGTGTCTGGATTTCCATTTTTGGAGATCTTTCTGACTTTCATGTAGGGAATGGATTTTATGGGGAAAAGAATGGAAGAAAGGAAAGAAACTGGATGGTTATTATGGTAATGCAGACAAAGGAGTTCGGTTACTTATTTTACAGCCAGAACAACAATTTGCATGGAGAAATTAAGAGAGATATACATTGGAGTTAGTACTAAAAGGATATGTGATGAATTTACATGAAAACTGATAGAAAGAAAGTATTTAAAATAATTTTTGGGTTTTCTTTTCTCGCTATCTTTCTCCTTCCCTCTCTGGCATTTAGAGTTATAAAACTATTGTCTGTTGCCCTTGAATGTTGGATAAGAAAGAATTGTTTTCTTATAGAAGTGTAGTGAATCAATATTTCAATTTGGATATTTACATTTCAGATACGTATTAGCTATCGTAGTGATGATACCAAATAAGCAATTTGGTTATATAAATACAATAGAGAAGAGAAAAGCTTATAGAGATGTAATTGTGAAAAACATGAGTTTTCATGACATCACATAAGAGGAAAGGTTAGATTGAATACAGCATCCAGGATCAAGCCTCAGGAAGATTCAATATATAGAGGGACAGTGAAGAAAGCAAAGCCAAAACAAGAAGCTAAAATGAAGAAAAGCCAAAGGAGTGCCTGAAAAAAACAAAAGAGAGAATGCTTCACATTAAGGACGTCACTTCTTGTGTCAATTGCAGCTAAAAACATAAAGGAAGAAGAAAGAAAGCAACCATGGAGGTTACTGCTGATGGAACAGTGGGGGCAGAGGTCATCTAGAAGTGAGTTAAAAGAGAGGATGGACATAAGACGTATAAATTAACAGAATAAAACTGAGAGTCCATAAATAAACCTATATATTTATGATCCAAAAATTTATATACATATATATGTGGTCCATTAATTTTAAACATAAGTGTGAAGACAATACAATGAAGAAAGGACAATCTTTTCAACAGAGTTGGGACAACTGGAGAGGCACATGAAAAAGGATGAAGTTGAACTTGCCTCACAAACCATATAGAAAACTAACTCAAAATGGATCATACATCAAAATATAAATGCTAAAATTATAGAACTCTTAGAAGAAAACACAGTAGTACACTTTCATGACCTCATATTAAACAGTAGCTTCTTAGGTTTGACAATAAAATCACAAGTGAAAAAAGAAAGAATAAACTAGATTATAAGAAAATTATAAACATTTGGACTGAAAGAAATACTATCAAAAACATGAAAGTATAATTCACAGAATGTTAAAAAAATACATCATTACAAATCATGTCTAATAAACATGTCCATAATACATAAAAACATTTAAAACTGAACAATAAAAACACAAGTAGCCCAATATAGAATTGGCAAAGGATTTAAATAAACATTTCTCCAAATAAATACAGATATGGCTAGCAAGCACATGAAAATATTCTCAAAATCATTACTTGTAAGAGAAAAGTAAATCAAAGTCACAATGAGATTCCACTTCACCTCAGATAATGGCTAGCAAGAAAATTAACAATCACAAGCATTGACCAGGGTGTTGAGAAATTGGAACTGTTGATACATTGTTAGTTGGAATGTAATATGATGAAGCTGCTTTGGAAAACAGTTTCTCATAGTATTAGACATAGAATTACCATATTTCAAGAGAAATGAAAAATATTTCCACAAAAAAGTCACAAATGTTTATAGCAGCATTATTCATAATAGTGCAAAGTGGAAATAGCCCAAATATCCATCAATGGATACATAAAACGTGGGTTATCATCATCAGCAACACCACCACCAACAGGTGTTGGCAAGGATGCGGGGAAAAAGGAACCCTCTTACACTGTTGGTGGGAATGTAGACTAGTACAACCACTCTGGAAAAAAATTTGGAGGCTACTTATAAAGCTAAACATTGACCTACCATTTGATCCAGCAATACCACTCTTGGGGATATACCCAAAAGACTGTTACTCCAGAGGCACCTGCACATCCATGTTTATTGCAGCACTATTCACAATAGCCAAGTTATGGAAGCAGCCAAGATGCCCCACCACTGACGAATGGATTAAGGAAATGTGGTATCTATACACAATGGAATTTTATCCAGCCACGAAGAACGAAATGTTGTCATTTGCTGGTAAATGGATGGAATTGGAGAACATAATTCTGAGTGAGGTTAGCCTGGCCCAAAAGACCAAAAATTGTATGTTCTCCCTCATATGTAGACATTATATCAAGAGCAAACACAACAAGGTGATTGGACTTTGATCACAAGATAAAAGCGAGAGCACACAAGGGAGATATGAGGATAGGTAAGACACCTAAAAAACTAGCTACATTTGTTGCCCTCAACACAGAGAAACTAAAGCAGATACCTTAAAAGCAATGGAGGCCAATAGGAGAGGGGAACCAGGAACTAGAGAAAAGGTTAGTTTGAGAAGAATTAACTTAGATGGTAACACACATGCACAGGAAATCAATGCATGTCAACTTCCTGTATAGCTATCCTTATCTCAACTAGCAAAACCCCTTGTTCCTTCCTATTATTGCTTATACTCTCTCTACAACAAAATTAGAGGTAAGGGCTAAATAGTTTCAGCTGGGTATTGAGGGGGTGGGGGAGAGAGGGAGGAGGTGGGGTGGGTGGTAAGGGAGGGGGTAGGGGTAGGGGGAGAAATGACCCAAACATTGTATGCACATATGAATAAAAAAGAAAAAATTGGGTTATCTATATTATTTGGAAATAAAAAAGAATTGAGTCTCGATACTTGCTATAACATAAATAATATATTATTCCTTACATGCTAGATGTGTTATCCTTCTAAGCCTTGACTTCTTCAACTAAATTCAGAATAACACTTCCACCCATATTTTGGACAAAACAATTAAGAGAGGATATCTATCTATCTATCTACCTATACCTTTAGATATAGATACATATATGTATATATACATATATGTTTCATAAAGCACCAAATACTTGTACTACTATTTACATATAGAAAAAGAGACTTTTGAATGTTTTAAGTAAAAAATTTAATAGGAAAGTGCAAATGATTAACAAAGTACACTTACCTTTTCCTCAGAAAGGGCTTTGATGTACTTTTTACTCACTTTCTTCTTCATTGTCCATGAAATACCTCTCATTTTTTTACCCATACTTCCATTATTTGAAGATTTATTTTGTTCTTCACTTTCATTTGTGGGTTCCCCTTCAAGTACCTAGTGTAGAATTGTTTACAAAAGACAAAATAATAAAGAATTAAAGAGCACTGTTTTGAGTCAAGTGGTTTGTTGCTATTGTCTTATGGCTCTGAGTGTGGAACCCAGAGCCTCTAAACATGCCAGGCTCTACTACTAAACTACATCTCAAGTCCAAAGAACATTGATTTGAAAACCTTATTGGAGAGAAGATTTTATGTTCATGGATGTAAGTTCCTATACATTCTGTGCAGCAGTCTCCAAATTTTCAAACAACCCTGGCATACTATGTATTGTTAAAATTGTCCAACCTTGGTTACCTGTGTTACAAACTCAGGAGCTAAGACTTGTGCCATTGAAAGTTCTGACTTTCATATCTAAAATTCTTTGAGATTTGACAGCATTATTAAAGAATCATTTTAGTACGTGTTTTGTGATGAACTAATTAGAACTAAATACTATACATAATAAGCAATTATCTCTACATAAATGGGAAATATTTTATTGAATATTTTATAAAGTCTGTAGTATCTATCTGTGCTAAGGTAGCATTAATATAGCCTCCTGCTTCTCGTACAAATTGAGGTGATCATGGTTATTTTTAAGAAGTTTTGAAGTTAAGCTCAATAACATAACATAAAATCATGTGATATGGTATAATTAAAAACATTATTTGATATAAAATTATCTGTTACATTATATAAAATCTACATGAAATAAAATATCCTCCCACTTCACTCCTAGCTATTTCTCAGTTCTTCCTTGCTTGCTATGGCAGTGGTTCTAAAAATGTGGTTCTTAGACAACCATCATCAACATCATTGCAGCCAATTTGTATTTTAGCATGGTCTTCAAGCAAGCCTGACATACAGATGCACACTAGCTTCTTAAAACAACTGCAATGAAGCATTGCCGTGGTAACTCCTTTGCTGTTGTTTCTCTATCAGAGTCTCACCAAGGTTTGTACTGGTTTTTATCTTGGCTTCTCATAGAGAGCACAGATTTCTTCTCTAAACCATGCAGGCTTTTACTCATGTGTCACATAACAAGAAAGAAATTTGCTGATTAATCACTCTCCACACTTATCCCTACTTCCTACTTGTTTCACCTGATATATTCTTCTTCCAAGCACTTTACATTACTCAATAATACATTTGTTTGTTCATTTAATGATTGTCTATACCTTCCATGTAATACATGCCCCATTAGACTAGTGGCTTTAATCTATTTACTTTATTCTGAGTGTCTAGACTATTTCCAGGCATTATAACTGGTGGTCAATACTATTTGAATAAATTAAACTCCTCATGTAGAATTTTCCAGCAATTTTTTTCCTTGAAGGACATATTTGGGTCACAGAGACTTAAAACCTCATATGTGCAAGAAATCAACCTTGAAGGTCATTTAGTTTACCACTGCTTACCATTCCTGAAAGGTGGGCAGATAGTCATTTCTTGAATATAAAAAAATGGTGGGAAACTCCTCTTCAGTGAACTTGAATATTTTAATATGGAAGTTTAACCACATAGTTAACATAATTAACAATCAATATTATGTTTTGCCTCATATCTTATCCCAAATTGCCTATGATAAATATAACAGACAGGCAATTTAAACCCTCATTGCACTTTATTAATTTCTACTTTCAAGGTTATAAAGGGAAAGATTCTTTGCTTAATTCAGAATCTCTGAAGAAAACATAATTTGTAAGCACTTTAAAGTTTTAGTTAGTCCTTTTCTTCTTTCTGCTTAAACTTTCTCTGTTTTCTTGGTAAAATTATTTTGCTAACTAAAATATGAAAGCATTTTATTACAAGTGGTGTTAGTTTACCATTACGTAAGTTTTAAAAATGTACCACAAATATTTTTCAGTTTTTCTATCATTATTTATAGAAAGCATAGAGAAATTATACCATATTTTAAATTTTTTATTATTTTTATGTTCTTCATAAACTGAACCACATTTTTATTTAGATATTTATTTATGGTTTTGCTGTGTTTTATGTTGTGTCTCCCCCTTTAGACTCCAGGCTTCATGACATAAGCATTTTCGTGTTATTGCAATAGTACTTCTGGAGAGCCTACTGGAATCCTGTTAAAGAGTAGGTATTTGTTGACAGAATGAAGAATGAATGTTGGATTTCTTAGAAATGTACAAACTACTTTATCAGGTTCACTATATTCTTTCATGAAAAATACTAAGCCATTAATATTTATATCAATAAAACTGAATGAGCCTGAGGTACTTTTATAAGTAAGCACCAGAATCTAAAGCTAAATAATAATAGAATATAGCTATGTATAATTATGGAAAATTAAAATCTTATATAAGATCCCAACTAAAAACAAAATCATATAAGGCCACTCTCTTTCTCTGTGTGTGTGTGTCTCTCTATCTGTTACTGACATAAAAAGTATTTTAAAATATTGTATATAGATATATCTATAGATAAGCATAAGACATACAACCTATTTACCTAAAAATTACTATTACTTGTGAGGTTACTGAATCAGGTTTAATGATAAGCATATACTGTATTTTCTCACTATCCATTCCTCCTTTCTACTATTTTAGTAGCTGTTATACCTTTCATTAATCATCCATCACAGGTGGCCCATAATTTAGAAGATAGAATAACAGAATGGAAACTTTGTAGCCAGAGAAGAGGTTAAGTTCTACCTTTGTCATTTATTAACTATAACATAGAAGTAATTTTGTTCAATGAAAGAAGCATATTTCTTCAAAAGTAAAACAAAAATACTAATAGTTCCTAAGTCATAAGTCAAGTAAACTGTTAACATTGCACTTACTTTGAGCTAAGTGCTCAATTATATGTAGATATTATTGGTATTGTTATAGTATTATGGGCACTTAATTTTATGGGAAGCCTTTCTTAAGCTACATTTGAGGTGTATATGGTTATAAATCTGTAACAGTTGCCAATGAAACATTCAATGCACATAATGGAAATGTGACAGTACAATTCAAGTAGCCATATGTTCTCCTTAATAAATTTACAGTCAAGTCATTTAAACATTTCCTGATTTAAAGCAGTTACAATTCATACATTTATAGTTTTATGATTGAAATTATTTTTGGGTTTTTTTGAAGTTTATTTTTTATTTATTTTTTTAAATTTTATTCATATGTACATACAATGTTTGGGTCATTTCTCCTCCCTTCCCCCGCCCCCTCCCATAATCACCCCACCCCTTTTCTCCCCCCCATCCCCTCACTTCCAGGCAGAAACTGTTTTGCCCTTATGTCTAATTTTGTTGAAGAGAGAGTATAAGCAATAATAGGAAGGACCAAGGGTTTTTGCTAGTTGAGATAAGGATAGCTATACAGGGAATTGACTCGCATTGCTTTCCTTTTAAATTAATTCTCCTCAAACTAACCTTTTCTCTAGTTCCTGGTCCCCTTCTCCTATTGGCCTCTGTCACTTTAAAGCACCTGCATTAGTTTCTCTGTGTTGAGGGCAAAAAAACGCTATCTAGTTTTTTGGGTGTCTTACCTATCCTCATGAAATTATTTTTGTGATTGGAATTATCAACATTACTTTGAACTGTAACTATATATATATATACATACACACATATATATATGTACATGTACACATATATAATTTGGCAGTATTGGGAATTGAACTCAGTGTCTCAGTCTTTCCTAGCAAGTGCTCTATCATTTGAGTCATGCATCTAGTTCTTTTGTCTTTAGCTTGTTTTCAGAGACAGTCTTGCACTTTAGGCTGGCTAGCCTCAGATCAGGATCCTCCTACATCTATCTCCCAAGTAGCTGGTATTAAAGTGTTAAACCACCATGCCTAGCTTTTTTTTGACACAGCTGTGTCAAATAAACTGCAGGCTGAGTTTGGCACAGCCCCAGCCACAGAAGAGGGCAAGGTGCAGCACAGTTGTTTTTCCTGAGCTGTTTATGTTCAGAGAAGTAAAGAGTAGATTTATCTTGTTGACAGCTGTTGCTCCACCTCCTTATTTACCACTGGATGTAACAGACTGGCTGAAGGAGGATGTAAAGTTTTTTGATGGAGGTTTTTTGATGGGGAATTGATGGAAGGTTTTTTGATGGGGATTTTTGGTTGGCTGCCACTGATGCTGATGCTGGCTGTGTGTCTCCACCAGAGCAGCTTTCTGCACGGAGAACTTTATACATAGGCTTTAGAAAAGCTAAGCTAAAGAAAAACTAAAGAGAACATGGGACAGTGCAAGTCTAAGGACTGAGACTTTAAGAGTTATGCTAATGCAGTTGTTAGATGCTGCTGCTGTTGTTTGTCTGCAAGTCTGAGCACCAAGACTTTAAACAGAACATGGGACAATACAAGTATGAGGGCAAAGACTTTAAGAGAGATTATGTTAAAGAAAAGCTAAGAGAAAACAGAGTGAGTCTAAGGAAAGAGACTTTAAAGAATAGAAAAGAAGCAAGGTTTTAAAGAAAGACTTTAGAAGCAAGGCCTTAAAGAACAGAGAAGAAAAGAGAAGTAAAAGAAGTGTTATTAGAGAAAAGAAGCAACAAGGCTGTTCTGCGTCTCCATCCGAGTGTCCCACACACCTGACTCCAGCTTTATGCATGTCTGTCTGTCTATTCTTTGTCTTTTCTACATCTCCAGTCACCCCCAGTTAGGCCAGTTAGGTCAGGAGAACAAGGGAGTGAGAAAAAGCTCCAGTACCTAACTTTTGCATGTTAGGGCCTGGTACAGCTACCCTTCTGTCTCTACTTTCCAAGTAGCTGGGATTTTAGGTATGTGCCAAAACATCTGCCCTGAATTGTAACCATTTTCTTAAATTTATGTTCTGCTTTCTCAAATATCCAGTAGGCTTCTTAGATAGCTTTTTAACCTTAATGTCCAGCACAGTTCTAGATACTAAATCACTTTATCCACCAAATATATGCAAGTCTATGACTTGAAAAAGTATTTTCTACTGTATTTTGCAAGAGCGATACTGTCTGCATAGTTCTTATAAAGTTTTATTGTAACATTCATAAAAATGGAATAAAATACTAACCTCAGTTGAATTGTCTGATTTTGATGTGGAATTATTCCGAAAACGATCAAAATTCCCAAAACTGCTGCTTCGCTATAAAATTAGAAAGGAAAGGAAAAGGAAATTTAGAGTTTGGAACTTTCAGTAAAACTAGTAAATATATTAGATTGTAGTTTAATCAGTATGTCTCTTACATATACCCAAGTTCTTCTCTGTTATATCAAAAGGCACTGAAGATAAGCATATTACTCATATTTTTATATTAACAACTGACATATGCCTACGCTTTGAAATATAGTGCTCATCACCTTGGAGAAAATTTTGGTTAAAATATTTTTAATTTATAGTTCTACTTTTGCTCTTGACAGTAACAACTGAAGAGTCTGTGAACACTAAAATAAGCCTCCTTTAAATGAGCTGAACGTTAACTTATTTCAACTAATAAACAAACAACAAGAAGAAAGGAGAAACAAGCCTCTCAGTCAATCCATGGTTATGCCTCATAAAGGTCAAATTTTTAAGCAACAAAATAACATGAGTGCATTCCCAGTTCTAACTGTGGATAATTTGAAATTCTGTGCTGGATATCAGAAGGATAATGCACACACACTGACCTATTAATAAATTGAAAGGAGCATTTAGGCATGCACAGTTTAAGATTAGGGGTAACACTGAATTTTTCCACACTTCACTGGAATTACAATGAGACCCCTGGGTCTGTTTCAGTCCCTGGTATTGAAGGAAAACTCAATATGTTAACAAGAGACTGTTCTTTTGAATACTTTTTGTGTATAAGCTAAATTATTATTCTTATGCAACTCATTCTAGAAAGGTAATTATAAATAATCCCAATATGCTATAAAGTAAACAGTTCTACTGGACACATTTTCAAATTCTGTAGTCATTGAGTCAAAAATTGGTTTCTTCACTATTTATTTAGTTATATGTATTGTTTGAGATTGTGGCTATCTGCTCTTATGTTCCTTGTACCTATAAATCCAAAGAATATGTCCTGTTTTATAATCTTTATCTAATTTCAAGCTTATTATATATTATAAATAAGCTGGTTTTACTTAAAAAAAGCTAGTAATATAAAAAAAATTAATAATGGGAGTCAGTAATCTACAAAACACAGCCCATTTTAGTCCAAGTTAGCTTCAAAGAATCCTACTCTTTAGAAGTACTTTTATACTCATGAATCCCCAACAGCTGTCTTCATCCCTGTTTCCCTTTTAAATGAGAATAAAAAGACGATGACATGTGACAAGAAGTTAGCCTGATAGACACTGTACTACAGAATATTGCTCCAAGGTTGATGACTGTATTAGACACAATTAACACCTTTTGCTGAGTCTCACCCCTCCTGAGCAAACCCTTCAGGCCTTCTTGCTGGTGACGAGAGGAGAGAAAGAGAAGGGCTAGAAAATGCCAAGTCTTCTGAAGCAGTGCTTACCAACCTAGACAGATTTTTCAGAGCATTAATCACTTCAACTTGCCTAGTAGGTTTCCATCAGGCCATCATGGCTCAGAGATCACAGAGGAAATTGAGAGCACTGTTGTCCTGCTTATAAACAATGTGAAACCAGGGAAATCTATTGCTCTTCTATGTGTTTAAAACATGCGTATGGCCTATTGGAGCCCAGACCTATGGCAACTGTGTAGCCTACATCCAGCTTGCCTCCTGCCCATTAAATATTAATGAGAGTTATAGAGTGATTTTGACTACTGGATAATGGGTCCTGTTGCAGAGGAGGGCACAGAATAGACTCACATCAGCATTTCTCTACAATATCTTCTTCCATTAAGTAATCAATAGTCACCACCTTTTAAAATTAATTCTCCCCCATTATATCAATAAAGAAAAGAAGATTTAGGAGTAATGGTTTAAGAAAGATACAAGACTATTACTTTGATTTTCGTCAATCATCTCATCACTAACCACTCAACAAGTTTAAGGCAAAGGACTTCATTAATCCATATTGACATACTCTTAAAAAACAAATTTCAGGAACAGAGTGTGATGGCTCATGCCTGTAATTCTGGCTACTGGGGAAGTGGAAATAGATTTGAGACCAGCCCAGGCAAAGTTAGTGTGAGATCTTATCTGAAAAACAAACTAGAAACAAGAGGCATGGCTCAAGTGATAGAGTACTTGCCTACCAAGAGCAAGGCCCTGATTTCAATCCCCAAGGCTGCAAACAAACAAAAACAAAAAATAAAAGCAATGAACTAATCACACAAACAAACAAACAAACAAAAGAGCTGCAGTATTTAAGAGAATGTTTTAAAATTTTTATTATTCTCTAGTCTAAAAGTTATGACTTATGATGGGTTATGATGAAAAGGGGTTATGTCTAGTATGAGGAAGGGACAAAGAACAAATCTATAACTCTACTGTCAGGGTTGCTGAAGAAAAGGTGAATCATGTGAAAGCAAAGCCTGCTTCCTACATAACAATCCTTAATAAATGAGAATGAGTTTGATAATTTAACAGATTAGATTTTGCAAATTCGATGTGGTGAAAAAAGTTCCCATTATGACAGCTATTACATAAACAAATAGTTGTCAATAGGAAGAGTAGATTGAATAAAAAGTAGCTTGATAATTCTTTGGTTATGTTAACATTAGATCATATTTAGTCTTTATACTTTATAAAAATGTATACAAGGTCTGAGAGTTTAGCTTGATAATAACAGAGCATGTACTTAGCAAGTGCGAGGTACTAGGTTCAATCCCCGGAATTACCCCCTCTAAAAAATATGTATGCAGTGCTTCCTTATGCAATTAGAAATTCACTTGTGAAATGGCACAAGACCTATGGAGGGAAATCTGGCAATATCTAGCATAATTCATATGTATTTGCACTTAGTCTTAGTGATTAAACTTTTATGCCAGAGAAACATTTGGATATAAATTGATTCACATACCCAAATTCATTATAGCATTTTTATTGAAATGATATAGTGTATCAAAGCAAGAAGGTAGTAATTGAATTATATGTAATAAATCCACACAATGGAAATATATGCAATGGTAAAGTATTGAAATACATCTTTTAATAATGCAATAGAATGACCCTTTGGATGAAATGTAAGTGATAAAAGCAAAATGGAGAAAAGTATACGGAGTAGTCTACCATTTATCTAAGTGAGGAAGTAATGTTTGTGTTATAATACAGGGAAATATGCTTTTCCTTCCTAGAGATATAAGACAAAATGAACATAGTAAAAGGGACAGGAAAGAAAATGTTTCTCTGCATATACTATAGATTTGACTTCAAAACACTACATGTTTCACATATTTATAAACTAAATTAAATTGACATAAAATGTAATCCCTAAAATTTTTAAATCAAAATGAAACAAATTAGTCTAACTGCATATTGAGTTGGTTACTTAAGAGGAAGAAATTTTTAAAAGTGATTTGACAGTCTATACATAGTTGGAAATATGTCAGGGCAAGAAATAATGACTAAGTAATCACAATGTTATTAATAATATTGGTATATATAAAATATATATTGAATTATAATGAAAATAATGTTAGCATCTGGAATCAAGATTCTCAGTATCTGAGAAAAGCAATGCAGATATAACATTAAATGCTAAACAAAATCCTGCAATCTTTAGTGTCAATTAAAAACATCAGTGACAGTTCATGATAGATTTCCTCTTAAGAATGTATATTTTGTAGCTCCATCGACTGAAAAGATCTGGAACAATTACCAGTACCATGGCTTGCTCTTTTTTCCTTTTCTTCTTTCTTTCTTTCTTTTTCTTTCTCTTTCTTTCTTTCTTTCCTTCTTTTTCTTTCTTTCTTTCTTTCTTTCTTTCTTTCTTTCTCTCTCTCTCTCTCTCTCTTTCTTTCTTTCTTTCTTTCTCTCTCCCTCTCCCTTTCTTCCTTTCTTTCCTTTCTCTCTCCTTCCTTCCTTTCTTCTTTCTTTCTCTCACAATGTACATGGCCTTCCTAAATACATTTCTCTTAAAAGGAATCAAGTCTCTTTAAAGGGCTGGGACAGAAAACCTACAAGGTCAGCCTGGACACTGTCTCATAAGATAAAAACAAGAGAACTTTCTAAACAATTCAGGGCCCATACTGAAAATTCTCACTGGGATGGATTGTATTAAAAATGGACTAATTTTAATATGGAGAAAAGTGACTGCAATGTGTTGCAATATTAATAGCAATATACCTAACATAAAAATTCATGAATTCATAATCATATTGAAAGGAAAAAAGTCAGTGATTATCAGGGGAAATATGAGTTATATTTTGAAAACTGGCATAAAGTGAAACACCTAAACATTTAAGCTGCTTTTTCTGTATGAAATATATTTTAAACTCACAAAACAATTGATTATGGACAATTACTCTGTATATATGTGTATATACTTGAGTTATATCAACCAAATCCAATCTGTGAATCTTTTTTAGATCAGATAAACCATGATACCAAAATATCCAAGAAATAATTGAAGAAACTTTTTTAATGCCTAGCTATTTGATAATGTTGAGGGAGCACTGTTATTTTATATACTAGTCAAAATAATAAAATGAGGAACAGAAAGTATTTGGGCAAGAAGAAGAAGCACAACTGGGTTTTATTTAATGATTGGGTTTTGTATATATGGGTCAGACTGAACTGTTCTCTACTTTTACATATGCTTGAAATTTCCCATAATAAAATGGCAGGTTAAAAATACTTATACCTACACAAGAGGTTAAAGGGTAATTTATGAAGAATTAATGTTTTCGTAATTTTATTGAGGAACCAATTTGTAAAAATATAACATTACTGATAGGTTTATGGTTATTTGGAGCATAATACACTGAAGAAAAAAACTGGTTTTTAAAATCTGAATTAATTTTAGTATAACTTATTTTCTTTATGAAGATATTTTCCTCATGCCTTTTTGTGATCACATGATGCAGACTGCCTTCCACAGTCTACTTGACTTCCACAGTAATGGTGCTGAACCAGAGTCACTTGTAGTGTTTGAACACACGCAATGAATAATATAAAGAACAAAAGAAGATTCTTTTTATTAATCACGCCTCATCTCTAGTTTTGAGAACAATTTTAATTTTTGCAG